AAACCAAATAAATTATGAAACACAAACCATGGTCATATTGCTAAATAAAAATCACTATTAAACAAATTAAGATGAAACTGGGGGCGGTGGCTCATGCCTGTAATCCCAGCACTTTGGGAAGCAGAGGCAGGTTGATCACCTGAGGTCAAGCATTCGAGATCAACCTGACCAATATGGAGAAACCCCGTCACTACTAAAAATACAAAATAAACCGGGAGTGGTGCCACATGCCTGTAATCCCAGCTACTGGGGAGGCTGAGGCAGGAGAATCATTTGAAGCTGGAAGGCAGAGGTTGCAGTGAGCCAAGAACACACAACTGCACTCCAGCCTGGGCAGCAAGAGTGAAACTCCATCTCAAAAATAAATAAATAAATATTAAAAAGAAAGCCTTATCAATATTAAGCCCCAATGATCTGCTTTCTCTTTTGATATTTTAGTAGCACAACATCTATCATTATCTTAATGAATGTGTACAATATGTAGTGTCTGCACTTGACAACTATAAGTAAATGGGTAAAATAACATACTATCAATTGCAATTTATTACAATGCTTTCATTGTCCTGGGTTATTTCCTTCTGACCAACATTTTAAGAGGGACAAGAGAAAATATCAGTGGGCTCAAGACCATCTACTGCATGATTTCATTTATATTAGGTAGAAAAAGGCAAAATTAATCTACCTTATTCCAAGTTAGAATAGATTTCACGGGATAGATAATAAATGAAAGAGAGCATAGAATAGGTTTCTAGGGTTCTTGTGATGTTCTTTTGATCTGGTTACTAGTTACAAGGATGTGTCTAATTCATCAAGCTGTCATAATAAATATCCTTTCAGTATATATACTTTCATTTTTAAAGTTTGTAAAAAAGCAGTTCATCACATGCTTTTGAATTAATCTGAATTAGACCATATGAACTCAACTTGATAAGTCCATACAAATTTACCAATGCATAATACCTAAAACTTTACCAGTGTATTTTTTCCTTCAGGAATTGCTAATAGGTCATCATTTTACCTGACTTCCTCTGTATTTAGTAACTCATATTCATACACATTCACTTACCTATGAATTGTATAAATTACTCTTATTTTAAAAGGTTTTTTAAATTATGCTTTAAGTTCTGGGGTACATGTGCAGAATGTGCAGGTTTGTTTCATAGTTATTCATGTGCCATGGTAGTTTGCTGCATCTATCACCCCATCGTCTACAATAGGTATAATAAAAATTATACCTTAACGCACTAACAAACATCCATCAGAAAATATAATTTTAAAAAATACTCTTCAAATATACTAGAATGACTATTTAAAAAATGCTGACCGTACCAAGGGCTAGTGAGGATGTAGAGTACCTGAAACTCATGCCTGTTGCTGGAATAGCAAGGTAGTACAGTTTGGCAGCTTCTCATAAAGTTATGCACATGTTTTGAGATCCAGAAATCTCACTTCTAGACACAAACATGTACAAAAATGTTTATAGCAGCATTACTCAAAACTGGAATCAACTAAAGTATCTCTCAAGGGGTGAATGCATAAATAAACTGTGGTATGTCCATTTAATGAAATACTCCTCACCAATAAAAAGGAAGACTATTGATACACAAAACAACATGGATAAATCTCAAATGTATTATGCTAAGTGAAAGAAGCCAGTCTCAAAGATTGCATACTATGATTACATCCATTTCACATTCTGGTAAAGAGAAAACTACAGAGATAAAGAACAGATCAGTTCAGAGTTAGGAGTAGCGGGGGCAATTAATACCTCAAAGGGGCAGTGTCTTAGTCCATTTAGTGTTGCTATAAAGAGGCTGGGTAATGCACAAAGAGGAGTTTTACTTGGCTCACAGTTCTGTGGGTCGTACAAGAAGCATGGCACTAGCATCTACTTCTGGTGAGGGCTTCAGGCTGCTTTCACTAGTGGTGGAAGGTGAAGAGCAGCTAGTGTATGCAGAGATCACGTGGTAAGAGAGGAAGCAAGATTCCGGGAGGGAAATTCTGGGCTCTTTTTAACAACCAGTCCTCAGGGGAAGAGTCACGGAAAGACAAACATTACGGATTGTCACTTACATGTGGGAGCTATAAAAGTAGATCTCATGGAGCTAAATAGTAGAATGATCCCAGAGGCTGTGTGTTGTGCAGGGGTTGGGGGAAACAACGAAGGGAAGGTGATTAATGACTACAGAAAGTTAAATAAAAGGAATGAATTCTAATGTTTGATAACACAGTGACTACAGTTAACAACAATATATTGTATATTTTATTTTATTTTATTTTATTTTTGAGACAGAGTTTCCCTCTTGTTACCCAGGCTGGAGTGCAATAGTGTGATCTCGGCTCACCGCAACCTCCGCCTCCTGGGTTCAGGCAATTCTCCTGCCTCAGCCTCCTGAGTAGCTGGGATTACAGGCATGCGCCACTGTGCCCAGCTAATTTTTTGTACTTTTAGTAGAGACGGGGTTTCACCATGTTGACCAGGATGGTCTCGATCTCTTGACCTCGTGATCCACCCGCCTCTGCCTCCCAAAGTGCTAGGATTACGGGCATGAGCCACTGCGCCTGGCCAATATATTGTATAGGCTAGAAGAGAGAACTTGGAAAGTTTTCTGCATGTTAAAATGATAAATACTCGAGGTGATGGATATTCCCAAATACCCTGACTTGATTATGACACTTTCCATGCATGTAACAAAGTATCACATGTACCTCATAAGTATGTACAGATATTACATATTAACTTAAAATTTACTTTAATACATATTTTTCACCATGTAAAAAATTAAATCAAAATGGATAATGGAGCTAAATGTAAAACCTAAAACTTCTAGAAAAAAAAAGAGGAGAAAATCTTTGTGACTTTGGATTAGTCAATAATTTATTTTATATGATATCAAGTGTACAATACATAAAATAACAAATTGATAAATTGGACTTCATTAAAATTTAAAACTTTTGTTCTTTGAAATAGCCTTTCATAGAATATAAAGACAAGCCACAGTCTCAAAGAAAATATTTGCAAGTCACATAAAGATCTTGCAGCCAGAATATATTTTAAAAATATCAAAACTCAGTAATAAGTATATAAATAACCCAATTTAAAATATGGGCAAGATACAGTTGTTGAAAAATAAAATTGAATCCCTATCTCTCACCATGTACAAAAATTAACTCAAGATAAATTAGGCCGGGCGCGGTGGCTCAAGCCTGTAATCCCAGCACTTTGGGAGGCCGAGGCGGGTGGATCACGAGGTCAACAGATCGAGACCATCCTGGTCAACATGGTGAAACCCCGTTTCTACTAAAAATACAAAAAATTAGCTGGGCATGGTGGCGCGTGCCTGTAATCCCAGCTACTCCGGAGGCTGAGGCAGGAGAATTGCCTGAACCCAGGAGGTGGAGGTTGCGGTGAGTTGAGATCGCACCATTGCACTCCAGCCTGGGTAACAAGAGCGAAACTCCGTCTCAAAAAAAAAAAAAAAAAAAAAGATAAAGACTTAAATCTAAGACCTAAAACCATAAAAATTTTAAAAGAAAGCCTAGGGAAAATTATTCTGGACATTGGCCTGGGAAAAGGATTTATGACTAAGACCCCAAAAGCAAATGCAACAAAAACAAAAGTAAATAAATAGAACCTAATTAAACTAAAAAGCTTCTGCACAGCAAAAGAAATAATAAAGAGTAAACAGATAACCTATAGAATGTAAGAAAATACTTGGAACAATGCATTCAACAGATATCCGGACTCTACAAGAAACTCAAACAAATCAGCAAGAAAAAATCTCATTTTAAAATGGGCAAATGGCATGAACAGACATTTCTCAAAAAAAGATATACAAATGACCAACATATGAAAAAATGTTCAACATCACTAATCATCAGGGAAATGCCAAATAAAACCATAATAAGATACCACCATTCTCCAACTACAATAGCCATTTTAAAAAGTTGAAAACCAGTAGGAGTTTGCATAGATGTGGGAAAATGGAACACTTGTATACTACTGGTGAAAGGTAAATTAGTACAGCCACTATAAAAACAGTATGGAGATTCTTAAAGAACTAAAAGTAGATCTACCATTCAATTCAGCAATCCCACTACTGAATATCTACCCACAGGAAAAAAAGTCATTATAAAAAAACCACCTACATTCATATGTTTATCATAGCACAAACACAATTCCAAAGATGTAAATCAACCTAAGTGTCCATTAGGCAATGAGTGGGTAATCAAAATGTGGTTTATATATGCATGGAATTTTACTCAGCCATAAAAATAATGAAAGAATGTCTTTTGCAGCAACTTGGATGAAACTGGAGGCCATTATCATAAGTAAGGAAACTCAAGAGTAGAAAACCAATTATTGCACATTCTCACTTGTAAGCTAACCTATGGTTACCCAGAGACATACAGAGTGGCATAATGGACAATGGAGACTCAAAAGAAGAAAGGGTAGGAGATGGGTGAGGGATGAAAAATTACCTAGTGGGTACAATGTACACTGTTAGGGTAATGTATATGCTAAAACTCAGACTTCACCACTATACAGTTCATCCATGTAACCAAAAAAGTGGCTGCACCCCTAAAAGCTATTATATAATTTTGTTTTAATGGGCAAAATATTTGAAGAAATACTTCACCAAAAAGAAGATATACATATGTTAAATAAACACTTAAAATGAAGATCAACATTACTACCCATTAGGGACATAGAGATTAAAGTTATGCTGTGATAACATTACACACCTAATAAAATACCTAAAATTAAAAAAAACTAATTATGTCAAGTGTTGGCAAGAATGTAGAGCACCTGGAACTCTCATTAAATTTTGATGAGAATATAAAGTTGTAAAACCCCTTTGAAAAACAGTTTAGGCATTTAAAAAAATTGACATACACTTCTATCATATGAAGAAGACACTGCATTTCTAGGTATTTACCCAAGAGAATTGAAAGTATATATCTAAAAAATGTATGCACAGATGTTTGTAGCATCTTTATTTGTTATCACTGGGAACTGGTAACAACACAAATGTGTATCAACAGTTGAATGAATTAATAAAGTTTGGTAAATAGATACAATTGAATACTATTCAGCCATAAAAAGGAATGAACTGTTGGTATACATAACACAGATAAAAGTAAAAATAATTATGCACAGAGAGAAAAACCAAGCAAATACATACTATAAGATTCCATTTACAAAAAAGACTAGAAAATTCAAACTAATTTACAATGAAGGGAAACAGATCAATACTTTCCTGGAAATAGAGTAGGTTGAGGCAGGAGTGGAGGGAGCTATAAAAGAACATAACAAAATCTAAGGGAGTATTAAGTATGTTTATTATCTGGATTCTGTTCACAGTTTTCCATACCTGTGCACATATCGCACCTTATCAAATTGCACCGTGTTAGTTTTTTATTGCTGCATAACAAATTATTTCAAACCTAGTGACTTAAAACTAATTTATCATCTTACCATTTCTGTGGGCCAGAAAATAGAAGCATGAGCTAACTGGATCCTCTACTCGGAATCTCACTAGGTTGAAATCAAGGTGTCAGTCAGGGCTATGATGATTCCATCTGATTCGAGGGTCTCAGAACTCAATGACTTGTGGTTGTAGGACTAAGATTCCCATTATCTTGCTGGCTGCCAGCTAGGGATTCCCTCAGTTCCCAGAGATTGCCCCAGGTTCTTGTCATGTAGCCATCTCACAACATGGAAATTTACTTCATCAAAGCCAACAGGAGATTCTCTTTCTAGTGTGCTATGGTGAAATCATATAACCTAATCATGGGAGTAACGATCCTATTCCTAAGGCCTACCCATACTCATGCGAGGCTGCTTGAGCTGTCATAACAAGATTCCATGGACTGGGTAGCTTAAGCAACAGAAATGTGTTCTCCCACAGTTCTGGAGGCTGGGAAGTTCAAGACCGTGGGCCAGCATTGTTGGTTTCCAGTGAGCGCTCACTTCCGGGCTTGCAGATGGCTGCTCTATGTCTTCACATGGCCTTTCCTCAGTGCACACCTATGGAAGGGAAAAAGTGATTTATTTCTTGTCTTTTTATAAAAGCCACAAATTCCATCATGAGGGCCCTACCCTCACAACCTAATCTAATTCTAATTATCTCCCAAAACTCCATCTTCAAATGTTAACACATTGTGGGTAGGGTTTCAATGTATGAATTGGAACTGAAGGGCCACAAACATTCGGTCCATAACAGAGAGGATTATACAGGGTGTGCACTCCCAGGAGTAGAAATTTGGGGGGCTGTCATAGATTGCTGCCTACCACATACCTTTTAAACATGTGCAGTTTATGTCCACACAAAACATCAATGTACAAAAAAGACAAAGTGATATAAGGGGAAAAAAATATATTATCATCAGACTTTTGAACAGTATTGTTTTATGCCAGAATAAAAAAGAATAACCTTTAAGATATATACCTATGTATGTATGCCATGGATTTTATATCCAACAAAACTTACCTTCAAGTATAAAGGGCACAGATGAATTTTTATCAGCATGCAAAAACCCAGAGAGTGTTCTTTCTATTTTCCTCCTTAGGAATCTACTACAGAAGTTACTCTAGACAACCAAAATGAGTACAAAATTATTGATTGAAGAAGGAGAGCACAATATGTAATTTACATATATTTTTTGAGACAGAGTTTCATTCTTGTTGCCCAGTCTGGAGTGCAATGGGGCAATCATTGCAACCTCCACCTCCCAGAAGTGATTCTCCTAACTCAGCCTCCGGAGTAGCTGGGATTAGAGGCATGCCCTACCACTCCCGGCTAATTTTGCATTTGTAGTAGAGACTGGGCTTCTCCATGTTGGTCAGGCTGGTCTTGAACTCCCAACCTCAGGTGATCCACCCACCTCAGCCTCCCAAAAATGGCTTTATATTTAAGCAAAGTAGTGAAGTTATAAAAAAAAAAAAAATGAATATAATGGGTAGAACATATGCAAAATATATTTTAACAGTTCTCAGTAATTTTTCATGGTGGAGATTTTATTATGGTTATTTTAAGAATATTATGTTTGTAACACAGGATAAAGTAATAATTATGGGAAATTCTAATTTTATTATCTCCTGCATTTATGAGAACCAAGATTGTTGATACAGAAGAAAGTAGTTATAATTTAAGTAAAACACTCCCCTGACACACACATCTCTATCCCCAAATTTTAATTGGAAACATACCAGTATGATCTGATAAACTATTTTGTATGCACATATGGACATGCCATGGTATTTTCTCAGTATTTTCTGCCTTGTGCATCCTTTCCCACAGGGGTCTTCTGGCTACATGCTCCTAACAAGACAATCACAAGCGTCAACTGCACATAATTCCTTGTGAAGGACAGATTTTCAGGTTCTTTTCTACTAGGCCCAGTCTATCTCACTTCTCTGGCTTCCCTCATAAAATGATGATCAGGCTTTGCATCAACAGCTATAGCAGAATCTCAGGATCTCATCTCCTGTGAATAAAGTCTTGGGGGAGGGAAGTGTCTATACACCTTTCTAAAACAAACAGTATTGTTCAGGCCTTAGGCTATATATATCGAAATATGGGGTGGGGAGGATTTCTAACTTTGCAGAAACAAAGTTCAGCCAATAAATACAATTTCTATTACTAAATAGGATGCTTAATGCTTCATTCTGAAGGTACAATCAATCCCCCATAGCCATGGGTTCCAGTTTCTCAGATTCAACCAACCTCAGATTGAAAATATTGTGGACAAAAAACCAATACAATAATAAAAGAATACAAATTTTTTAAACAATGTAGTATAACAACTATTTATATAGATTTACATTATAATATAAGTAAACTAGAGATTATTTAAAATATACAAAAGGATATGTGTAGTTGTATGCAAATGCTATGCTGTTTTGTATAAGGCACTGAGCATCCACAGGTTTTGTTATCAGCAGGGGTGGAGGGTACTGGAAACAACCCCCTTTCACTACTAGGGAAGAACCGTACTGCATTTTGGCTTCTTCATTGGATTTCAGAGCTTCTCGTCCAACATTAGCATTGTGAAACTCCTGGGTGGAAGGGGAGATCTCCCATAAAAGCAAATTCCTGTACCACCACCGCAATATAAAAAGTGATTACTACTCCCCACACGAAAAATTCTCCAACTTTGCCACATCAAGGTCAGGAAACTATTGAACATTTAACATTCTGGAATAAGGCAACCCAAAGCTTTCATTGAACAAGTACAGTTTGATTGCACAGATCTGTCAAAGTGCCATGTGGTTTTTGAGTTCCTAAACACCACAAATGTCCCCAAGCAAAATTTTAAAACACAAGTTATTCCTTCAGGATGGCAAGATTCCATTGGAACATTATTCTCTATTTCAAAAATAAAGGATAAAGCTATTTGAAAATAAAGTATCAATCAGTCAATGCTGAAACTGTAGGAAAGACTGGATGTTGCCTGCCTTCAGAAATCTGTGTTATTGTGGAACATAAAGGCTGATTACCATATCTGCTCAGAAATATGTGCCATAGTTTGAAGCTCTTTAGTGGAGATGGATCTTAGAGGCACCTTTAAGACATAAGCTTTTAGAAACCATTCATATTAAAGCATGCTTTTACATTCTTCCAATCCTATAACAGAATACACCATTTCAAAGTACTGACCTGTTAATTATGTTATTTAATCTTCACTATGTTGAATTAATTTGTAATGCGGTTTCTTATTCAATTAAGGAAAGAAGCTTAACTTCTAGATGCCCATGGAGGTGTTTTAAAGGGCTGTAAAAAGCCTAAGAACAAAAAATTAATTTCCCCATTAGCTTATCATTAGGAAAACTCCAGACCAAAGAAAGGCATGGAAGTGGATGTTTGCAGAGTAAACTTCGGGAAGCAACAAATGTGGAAGATACAGCTTTTCCTTTGTAACTTAAGCCAGAATCAACCTGCTTTTATACAGGGTGTAGACTGAAAAAGAAAACTCTCTATTGAATATTGCGTGCACGCCAGAAGATCATAGACTTTATCTCAATGAACCCCATGTCGGTGTTATTTTCCTACGTTATTTATTTTATGGATAAAACATATGCCCACATCCATATGTGTGGCCTGTGAAAGTGCACAAGCAGACCCAGACCTCTTGATTATAATAAGGCCTCTTTTCCTTTCCATCGTATCTCACTGATGAAACCTGTGTTGCCTAGTCTGTGACCACATCTTTGCTAACTGAAGGAGCCCAGAAAATTGTCCTTTTAAGCTGAAACTAAAACCAGATCAATTGATCTCTGCAAGATATTTAAAAAATGGTCCTGATAATCCTAACTAAAAAATGATGAACAAAAAGCTATCCATTTCACGCTATTTTTTCTGGTCTCTCAAATTTTGCATGTGAATGTTTCATTTAAAAACAGCCCCATCAAGCTAAGTTTAAAGAAGTATGTCCAAGTAGCCCTTTTGTTCAGTAGAATTACAGGGGTTTCCTCCCCAATCTTTAGAAGATTTTCATGCTATTTTTAAGAAACAAAAAAAGTTAAACAAAAAATGTTGCTTCCCAAGCTAAAACATGTACTTGTAAATCCAGAATAGTTGAATGAGAAATTTTAATTAAAGAAAATATCTGAAAAATGAAATATGCCATATTAAGACTAAGTGAGTAAGAAATGATCATTAAGTGGCGTAGAGACAGAGGTCATGTACATCTGTGCTGTGTGACAGCCCACTTCATTTTTTGATAATCTCACTCTTTCACCCTTAATGGGGTCAAGCCTAGAATGCGACAAGGGTGGCTTGTGGCAGGGGATTTTTTTTGAAGTCACATGTATACGACCTGTACCACAAACCCAAAGACCTCTCTTTCTCACACACACAAACACACATGGAGTTTTATATACACAACCCAAGAGAGTCTTTTACAATGTACCAGAGTCATTTATCACTTAGCGGCATTCTAACTCACACAAGATCCCAGTATTTCTGGTGCTTACCTCCATGCACTTTTTTTCCTTCTTTGCACAAGGGAACTATGACTCTAGTATGCTGAATTGTCATAGAAAATAGAGTGAAAATTTTGGCCATCACTTTTAACTTAGAGCCACTTGTTCATTTCTAGAATAACATTAAGCAAGAGAATGATTTTTTAAAAATAAGAAATGAATTAATAGGTTATCACTGCCATCTGGTGGTGGAAATGCAAGAAAACAGGATATACATTCTGAGAGCTCAAAATACAATTAGTTTAGGAAAAGCATTGTTTTATAAAATGTCAAAAACGTTCGTCTGTTTATTTCAAAAATGATTATCAAACGTTTGTGTTACTGATTTGATTCAGAGTATTTGGAATATATGAGCTCTTCTGATTCACTTTTTTTTCCCTCAATTTCCAGGAACATAGAGGCGTTCCCAGTTTTCAGGCCCAAGAACCACTGAAGAAGTTAAATGATCATTGCATCCATTTCACCTCCCGGTGGAACTCCTCCTTCAAAGTTGTTGTTTCAAGAAAACTAAGTATTTACAATCATGCTATGTGGTGGGTGCAGCATTCAAATGGGACATCTCATCACCTGTTTGCCTCTCTGAAGCTCTGAAGGTGTCTTTCCTAGGAAGTTGTCAACGTAATTAAATCAGACAAACCTCAGGGTTACCATTGCTTTTGACAGTGTGGAGTTACAATGTGACAGACTTTGACTCTGCAGGAGGATTCCACAGCAGCTTCCATCATTTCTAAGCTTCTACTATACCCAAGCTTCTATCACACACTAAGCAATGTGATCTCCCATTACACAGCATACTAAACTCTCTATACAGGAAATCAAACTTTCCTACATTGTACGAACACATCATTCGTTTGTTTCGGCTTTCAAGTCTTTATGCTTTCTTTTATTTCCACTTGTATTGCCTGTCATATTATCCTCTTCAACTACCCAGGTTCCTGCCAAACTTAAAAATTCACTTCCTTGAAAATGCCTCAAAGGTTATCTATGTATTATTTTTTAGAGTTTGCTTTCTATGTGTCACTGTTTCAATCATTTTATGCACATATTATTATTTCTGACTTCTCAAAAAGAAAGTGGAGAATAATTATTCCTATTTAAGAGTTGAGAAAATTTGGCTCAGAGCAGTGAATAACTTACCTAAGTGTGCACTGGGAGTGAGTGGAGAAACCAGTTTTGAAAGAATTCAGTCTAATTTAAAGATTAAACTCATTCCTACCTTACTCATCATCCTATCAGGGCTATAGTGCACACACATGCACTCACACATACACAGAAGTGTTCATGCACATAAAGTCTTATATAACTGATACAATTAATAACACATTTTTGTTTAATAATAACAATACGTATATGTTCTTACATCACTTTCCTGTGCAATGGGATCCATTTCTCTCAAGAAGGTATGAATGACATTTCCTTAAGCAACTGCAGAGAACCCTCTTAGCAAATGGAGTGGTCTCTTGGTTAATAGTGCGGATTTCAAAATCAGACTGCATTCTACCACTAGCAACTTTACAGCATTGCCAAAGGACTTGGCCTCAGAGCTTCAGTTTTGTCACTTTGAAATACCAATAAACTTTTTTGAAAATTAGTTGAGATAACACATGAAAAGAGCAACTAGCATCGTGCCTGTTACGTGTTAAGCACTCAATGAAGGTTGGTGTTTATTATTTCAGTCTCTTTTATATACTGGATATCCAATGCAGATTGATGATTAACTGTTTTCATTGTTATGAAAAGGCTTTCATGAAAGGAAAAGAGCTCTTAGAGATATTGGATGACTCTGAATGGTGACTCCAGAATAACAGGACAAGACACTATATGGGCTGTAGAATCAATCCTATGAGAGATCTGGGTAAAGCATCTTCAGATATTGGAAAAGGTAGGGACACCAAGCTCCTCGGGTTTCTAGGCTGGCAGTGAACACATGGAAAATTCTAAATATGAAAATGACAGCCTTGTCAGTTTGCTCTTAGAGGCCTGACAAAGACTGCCACAGTCCCTGTCCATTTCTAGTAAATCACGGTAACTAATTCAGCTCCTCCCAAATTTGGCTTCTTCTATGACTTTTCCTAACATACAAACACAAAAAAAGAATAGCAGCACAAAAGCCACATAAGTCCCAGAAATCATAGCCAGATGAAACTTTATATGTTCTGCTTTCTAGTTTTGTCAGGTCACTGAGAAGTAAAACAGCAACCACTGCGAGAAAATTCTTCTATTTCCGAAAAATGATGTTTAAATGTTATTTTTAAGGAAAAGAATGTTTATCCTTCATTCTGGGGAATGATCAAAATGTTCCCAAATTACCATTTAAAAGGGCAGTCATTTACAAAA